TTTGTGACTTCTTCAGAGAAATTGGATTAACTATAAATATATCAAAAACTAAAATTATTAACATTGAAAAAGGTAGATTACAAGAGGAAAATTTCCAAATATGTTCAAAAGAAATAAAATCTATAACATTTAATGAAAAAATTAAATACTTAGGAGTAAATTTTTCTGAAAGCATAGTATTTGACTCTGAAAAAACAATTAGTTCATTGATAAACAAAATTGAAAAATTAACATGTTCTCCTTTTTTAAGGTCTGAACAAAAAATGTATGTATTGAATCATAATATTTGGCCATCTTTAATATATCCTTTTCAAACCGCACCAATTAAGAAAATTACAATGAAATTCTTTGACGATGTTGATAAAGTGATAAGATCAACAACAAAGGAAATCTTAGATCTTCCAAATGATATGCCAAATTCTATGTTTTATACAAGTACTAAAAACAAAGGGATTGGGTTATGTAAATCAATGTGGGAATCATCAATCCAACATATAAACATATGTCGCGTATTAAAACAAACAGGAAACCCCTACTTACTTAATATTCGTCAATTTGACGAAGAAATTAGGTTTTGTCTGGAAAAATTGAATTTAAGTATTGAATTTATCGAATCAAAACCCAAGATACTGCGAGAAACCTTACGAGACTTAGAGTATCAATACCCCCACCACAGCAAACCTGCAGACTAAGCGAATTTCCATTAACCTGATTAGATTTACACTAAAATGCCTCCATAAAAATAGCACATTCATTTCCTATTTAAATAGAATACGTTTAACGAGTACTTAGGTTTGCTGCAACAGGGAGGGTAAACAAGATTTTTTTTATAAAATGATAATAGTTTAGTAAGAAATAAAAGTATTTTCCAAAATCGATCAAAATATGTTCATAAACAAGCAAACTACAACAGTTGACTTATTCTCCATAAAAATAACATGGGAATTTTAAAATTACAATTTTTTGAATTTTACTCCGTAACAATTAGGCGCATAATAACGCTTCAATATACTAAATTATTTGTTTTTTTAAGCTCTACAAAATGGTTTAAAAATAAATTGTGAAATTTTGTGTTTTTAGGGTCAAAAATGGGAAAAACCTATTTTTACCCCATAAAACCCCCCATAAACCCCCGTTCCCATAGTCCGATCATGCTGGTTCGCGAACTCATTCAAGTTTATCCCGCCTCACACCTTCAAACCAAATTTTATCAAAATCAGACAAAAATTACTCAAGTTATCGTGCGGATGGACACATATATATATATATATATATATATATAGATATATAAAAATTTGAACAAATGGTGTTTTTGGCCTCTGGGGACATCAAAATGAAAAAGTAAATCGGTCCCGGGCTTAGGTCTTACCATGAGACCTACGGTAATAGCTACTTCCCTATAGGGAAATTCGCTAAAATTGGTGTAAACTTCCATACAAAGGGAATGGGGTGGTTCTTTTCAAAGAATGTAACAAGATCAATAAAAATTTGGCTAGAGGTTGTGGCCTCACAGAAGCTGAGTTCAAACAATACTTGAAAATGGTCGGAGACGTTATTCCTCTTAGAAGTCTTCATGGGAGATCCAGGGACGGGAACCAGTGCAGGCATTGTCCTGTATCTGAGAAATTTACTCTTGAAACTCTTGCCCACGTCCTTGGAAAGTGCCCATTTAGTAGTCTTCTACGAAATACCCGCCACCATACCATCAGAAAAATCATAGCTGATCAATTCAGAAAGAAAAGTTACGAGGTCTATGAAGAGGTCACGGCTATAGAAGAAGAGGGCTCTGTGAGGCGGAGTGACATCATTGTTATAGACAAGGAGAAAGATTTCGGTCTCATTATAGACCCAACAGTTCGTCTTGAGACAAATGAAAATCAGCCACAGGAAGTCCATGAAGAAAAAGTAAATATTTATAAGAAAACTATCCCATATTATTCAGAGAAATACAAAATATCAAAATTCAAAGTATATGGACTACTCATTGGATCAAGAGGAACAATTCCTCAACAAGTTGAGAAATTTTGGAAGAAATTCAATTTGGAAAATCAAGTGCTATATTTAATATCTTTAACAGCCATAAAATTTTCTATTAATATTATAAGAAACCACCTATATAACAATTATCATAATTAGGTTTAAACAAACTTGCAAAATTTAATGTAATATTATTCTTTGTTCTACAGCAGACTACAATGTGTAGTAAGATTTCAATTTTTAAAATAAATTTGAATTTATATGATTTATATTCTCCTAAAATTTAAAACTCATGTTGTACAACAACAACATTATTGCTGCTAAATAATGGAGAATCAATTTGCTGAATTTTCATTTTACTATGGAAGACTTGAGATATTATATTTTTCTCTCTCGTGTATTGATATAATTTTATTCTGTTAAACAGATAAAGCATTAGCATGTGTATGAACTAACTAACGTACAGTATTAGCTTTGACGATTGAGTACCCTAAAGTCAATGGTAAGCTTTGGATAATATTATGAGCTCTGAAAATCCGAATGAAATTGTATGAGTAGAGTTTTAGCATAGATTAAACATACTCTCTTATTGATAAGTCATCATCTGTATGGATCAGAAAGACAATTATTTCAATGTTAGCTACGGCCGGTTTTATATGGGGATGTGTTTTTGTTTACAATTTGCTTATCATTGTATACAGTTCTGTAAGAAAACATATTTACCAGAAAATTGTGGACGTCAGGTAAGTCGCAGAAGAATGGAAGAGGTCTTAAATTAAAGGTCTTGACCCCAGGGACTCGGGAAAACAGCAGAATTCCCATAAATTTGCCAGAAAACGAGATATAACGTAAATTGTTCTCCATAAGAATAGCATTAGAAGCCATTTACTGCTGATTTTTGTTTACCTCAATACAGCTGATCGTGATGTATCATTAAGCCAGTGGGCAATATTACATTTAGATACCACATTTGCCAGTCAATTCTGCAATGTAATGTACACTATATAAAACCAGGAATAACGTTACCTATCATGGTTAACTATAATACTTAAGACATTTTAGTTACAACTTAAGACAGTTGAAATCCATAAAAAAAAACCAAATCAATTTGATTTTTAACATTTCTTTTCGTAACAGTATTGTATGCAGAAAATCCTTTACATCTAAAAACAATATAACTAGGATTGCTTTCATAGCAGTGAAAGCCATTTGAGCGGAACAATCGTGTTTCATGGTTTTTAATAAAACAATAAATGAACAAATATTTATAGATATAATACAAAATACAAATGTTCCAACACTCTGCACTGTTAGGCTTTATTACTACTTCCTTCTCCACTTCCAACGTCGTGAACCTGTTTTCCTCCCTTCCCATAGCATTTTAGTATCGCATATATATTAATGTATGTAACTGCCAAAAACGTTTCCACACTCTGCAATGCCAATCTTTACTACTTTCTTCACCACTTCCTACGTCATGGATCTGTTTCCTTCCCTTCCCATAGCATTTTAGTACTGCAGAAACATTAATGTAACTGTAAAAAACGATTTCCCACACTCCGTACTGCCAGCTCTTACGACTTCCTTCACCACTTACTACATCATGGACCAGTTTCCCTCCCTTCCCATAGCATTTTAGTATTGCAGGTCCATTAATGTAACCGCCACAAACGTTTCCCACACTCCGCACTTCTCGCCTTTACTGCTTCCTTTACCACTTCCCACATCGTGGACCTGTTTTAGCTTGCCATGTATGAGATGGATCCCTGAATGTGATTCACCGACGAATTGTGTAAGATAGTTTTATTTAACGTTATTTAGCTACGTAAATAAAATCTGTTAAATACTGTACCTAAGTTATATATGACTGTACCTTTTCGATCAGTGGTTGTTTCCAAATTGCGACTTACATAAAACTTTTGCTGTATTATTTGATCAGTTGTCGGTTTTTTCACTTTGTACTGTGTTTAAGTTGTGGCTTGATTTTAACATATGCCATGATTCTTTGTTTTGTTTACATTTACGTCGTTATTTTGGCGGTGGGGCACACGGAAGATTTCTAAGGTGCCGTTTGACGTCACTAACTGCTGACGTCACTAACTACTGCGTCTGAAGAAACAGACAATTTTATAATTTTTTATTATTAAATTAAACTGTCATAACCTAACCAAACTAACCAAACGTGCTGATAATGGAAAAATCGAATAAAGGTTTACAAATCTATAAACAGTTTTGTTCATAAAATAAAATTATAATTGTCTAAAATTCAATTTTATAATCTTTTAATTATAAAATTAAACTGTCATAACCTAACCAAACCAACCAAACTTGCTGATATGAAAAAATTGTTGATAAAATGTTAATGCCGCCGGCGGGATTCGAACCCGGATCATTTGGATTATCAGCCCGCAACGCTATCCACTGTTCCACCGAGGCCGATGGCTGACACCGTATCGTTGCGGTATTGGTGTTCCCTCAAAGTGACATCAGCAGTTAGTGACGTCAAACGGCACCTGAGAAATCTTCCGTGTGCCGTTTCGTTATTTTGGAACCATCATGGCAACCCATACGGTCAATGTTAAAAATTAAAAACGTTGAGTTACTTTAAATTATATAGGCACTATCAAGAATTGAAATTGATTACATCTAAGCCATCCAAACATTTGACAAAACAACCTTGATAAGTTTGGCTAAAATATGTTCAGCCGTTATTAAGATTAATTGTTATAAACATTAATTGAAGTTGATCCCAAAGAGGTTCGCTTCGCTCCACTCAAAAAACATACAATGGTTCATACGGGAGAGCGGCCTCATAAGTGGAAAATACTACATGTGGAAAATTATTCTCAAGCAAAAGCAATTACAACAAACACATATAAATTCAGAGCATCGAGCATCCTAAAAATTTGTAATACGCGTAAAAATGCCCTTAATTGTAAGGACAATTTGTATATACATATATTGGTCATAATAAATTATGTATGTGTGATAGTGTTTGTCTAATGAAAGTTCTGTTTTTTCAGGAATGAAAATAGAAGATCTCGGGCATAAGAAATAAGAACCAATTGCCAAACGAGTCCTAATTTGGATTGTACGTAGGACAACACCTCCCTCCACGGTAGTACCTTGAACTTATAGAAATAACAGAGTGAAGATTCAAACATTTAACATTACCAATAAACCACCTGATTTTTTACTAGAAATTCTGATAATCTGAGTTTCACAACAATAGAAAGTGCAAAGCTAAAAATGCCAAAGCAATCCAAAGAGCTTTTTCATAAGTGTCCAATATGTGGACAATCATTAAAAATGAAATATCAAGTGAAGGTTCATATATTAAAACATACGAACGAACACCCATATAAATGCTTAACATGCGGTAAATCATTTAATATGCTTAGTCACGTAAAAAGTCATTTGTTGACACACTCTGGGAAGTCTCCTTATAGGTGTGTTACATGTGGGAAATGCTTTGTATCTAAAGGCAAATTGAAAGTACATACTATGGTTCATTCAGGAGAGCGACCTCATATATGCATTACTTGTGGAAAATCGTTTGTATATAAAAGCAATTTGAAAGAACATAGAATGGTTCATACAGGAGAGCGACCTCATATTTGCATTACTTGTGGAAAATCCTTTGTATCTAAAAGCAAATTGAAAAAACATACAATGGTTCATACAGGAGAGCGACCTCATAAATGCACTACATGCGAAAAGTCCTTTGTATCTACAAGCCAATTGAAGCTACATACAATGGTTCATACAGGAAAGCAACCTCATAAATGCATTACATGCGGAAAATGCTTTGTATCTACAAGCCAATTGAAGCTACATACAATGGTTCATACAGGAGAGCGACCTCATAAGTGTATTACATGCGGAAAATCCTTTGTAACTGAAAACAAATTGAAAGTACATAAAATGGTTCATTCAGGAGAGCGACCTCATATATGCATTACTTGTGGAAAATCGTTTGTATATAAAAGCTATTTTAAAATACATACAATGGTTCATACAGGAAAGGGACCTCATAAATGCATTACATGCGGAAAATGCTTTGTATCTAAAGGCAAATTGAAAATACATACAATGTTTCATACAGGAGAGAGACCTCATATATGCACTACTTGTGAAAAATCCTTTGTATCTAAAAGAAAATTGAAAGTACATACAATGGATCATACAGGAGAGCGGCCTCATAAATGTATTACATGCGGAAAATCCTTCGTATATGAAAGCAATTTGAAAGAACATAGAATGCTTCATACAGGAGAGCGACCTCATATTTGCATTACTTGTGGAAAATCCTTTGTATCTAAAAGCAATTTGAAAAAACATACAATGGTTCATACAGGAGAGCGACCTCATAAATGCACTACATGCGGAAAGTCCTTTGTATCTACAAGCCAATTGAAGCTACATACAATGGTTCATACAGGAGAGCGACCTCATAAGTGTATTACATGCGGAAAATCCTTTGTAACTGAAAACAAATTGAAAGTACATACAATGGTTCATACAGAAGAGCGACCTCATAAATGTATTACATGCGGAAAATCCTTTGTATCTACAAGCCAATTGAAGCTACATACAATGGTTCATACAGGAGAGCGACCTCATAAATGCACTACATGCGGAAAGTCCTTTGTATCTACAAGCCAATTGAAGCTACATACAATGGTTCATACAGGAAAGCAACCTCATAAATGCACTACATGCGGAAAGTCCTTTGTATCTACAAGCCAATTGAAGCTACATACAATGGTTCATACAGGAAAGCAACCTCATAAATGCACTACATGCGGAAAGTCCTTTGTATCTACAAGCCAATTGAAGCTACACACAATGGTTCATACAGGAGAGCGACCTCATAAGTGTATTACATGCGGAAAATCCTTTGTAACTGAAAACAAATTGAAAGTACATACAATGGTTCATACAGAAGAGCGACCTCATAAATGCACTACATGTGGGAAATCCTTTGTATCTAAAAGCAAATTGAAAGAACATACAATGGTTCATACAGGAGAGAGACCTCATAAGTGTATTACATGCGGAAAATCCTTTGTATTAAAATATAGTTATGAAAGGCATCTATTAATTCATGGCAATGGGCATCCTTATAAATGAAATACATGTAAAAAAGCCTTCAATTCAAAGGATAATTTGAAAAAGCATAAAATGTTTTTTAACTTTTTTCTGATAAAGGGTGTGCCAAAAACTGTCATTAGTTCCAATCTTGGAAAATTCAAATGTAAACATATGTCATGTCATACATCATTTTAAAGTTATTTAATAGACAAACATTTTACAGGAAGAAAAATTAATGATCTGTTTCCGTTTCTAAATAGTGGCAGTTTTTGGGAATTTGATTTTTGAAAATTCGCAAATGCTTATTGTTTTCAAATTGTACAATAGTAATAGGTATTTATGTATGTTTGCACAAAGATCTCAAAATCGGCTTCGAAGATTTTCTTTTCTTCAAATGTTGTAAATATATTACTTCTGGCCTAAAAACTAGTTTACTGCAGTTAGAATTGCCAACGAAAATCTAATCATGTAGAAAAAAGAAACGTACGGGAATTCAGTAGTCAGATAAAACCGTGTACAATTCAGATCGGCTAGTTTACACATAATAAAGACAAAGTTTCTTTCAGTTTTAATGTGAAAAATCATCTTGTAAACAAATGTTGTGTGACCAAATGTGTTTTTATTCCATCATAGACCTATACGATATGCATTTTAAATCCGATAGTTTTACAATAAAACAGCAATTCTGCAATTTTTACGATGTGAAAAGCGTTGAAGTGAGATTTGCAGCCGATTCACACAGACGCACACTGATTATAAGTAGCCTACAGTAGAGAGAGTAATAGTCAATTGAGAAGTGTATAAATAGACCTAGTCAACGATACCACCTTCCATAGCATACCTGCCTCTTCCATAAATATTATCACCACAATACAACTACTATACACAATTTCCAGTAGGTCTGGATAGAAACAACCTAAAATAAAACGATAATATCCAATAAAATTCACAGGTCACATAATTTAACTTTGATGTCCTAACATCAAAACTAATCGTCACACCTATCCCTAATATCAATTTCACTGCATTAATTGCTAAATAAATAAGCGTAAACAAAGAAAAGTAAAAACAATAACAGTTTGTTTTGAAACAGCTGTTTGGTTCAAATAACATTCATTTGAAAAAAAAAACTGGTCACATGTAGCAGGAATATAAAAAGTAAACACGATAGTAAAGCTAATGACGTAATTGCCAATGTTTATTATCCATACCGTTATCAGTTCTATCCTTGATAATTACCCACCCTCATTGAATAAATGTACGTCGTAATTTCCCAGATTATTTAATTTAAACTACAATATATTCATAGTTGAAATAAAAATTATATTTTCACGTTTGGGAGCGCTGATACAGGCACCACAACTGAACACGATTTCATAAAAGGATGGTTTGTCTAATTGCAGTATCCTAGGTCAATTTTGACGTTGTGTTCAATCTATTTCATCCATCTGTTTGTCTTTGTATAAAACCCGGCTAAGGTTGTAGTGGTAATTTATAATCGTGATTCCTGATTCTGATTATTCTTGATCTTCTTTTTATGACATCAATATTTCCGGGCCTAATCCAAACAAAGTTAAAGCAGACAAACATTAATTGTAAACAAAAAGCAACCATGAAGAATTAAAACATGTAAACATCGTTATTTTTCTAATCTGTCCTTGAAAAGTGTAGCAGTAAAATAATTTGCATTTATCCTTTTTTATTAAGACTCGTGTACAGAGCCTCGATTTGTACTGTGGTTTAATTAATTTTGGTTAAAACTGTGGTTTAAACTGTGGTATAATTATCTCTACTAATCTTACTTATTTCCTATAATCAATAACAAAATAAGAGTAAATAAAATAACGTCATAGTTCCATAGTTTATATTTAACCAGCTGTTAGTTAAAACAAATTATTGCTCTAAAACAAATCGAAGAATACAAAGATTGCTTTAAAAAAATATTTGAACATCCTAGTATTTTACTATGTATATTTAATTAATCTGTCATCCTCTTACAGGAGAATTGAACGTATCAATGATTAGCATTACACATAGTATAAATAAGTCAACCCTAAGTATGTCTTTACATTTTTATCCAACTGCTGAATGTACAACAGCTGTTATGTTAAGCAAATTATTTCATGCCAAAAGCTAGTTTAGAATCTTAGCGTCCGCTGCTAGACTTTTTCAAAATTAAAACTTAATTTCTAAAAAAACTGGGGCCCTAAATTAAAATTATGGCTTCGACATTCCCTAGTTCTCAAAATTATCTTTCTTTCAACACAAAAATCATGAAAATCCGTCGAGTGGTTGATTCAGAATTGTGAAATAAAAAAACACTGTTTCGTTTTAATATTATAGATTATTTCAATAAATGGTTATTTGTGGCATATCACAGTAAAACTAATTTCATAACTAGTAAGAAAATTCAACAGGAGAAGGGCTAAGTGTATTTGTAAAGGAAACGCAGTGAATTAAAAACATATTGATTCTTCCCAAATAAAAAACCACCACCATTTGGAAACAAAAACAGATCATTCATTTATGTTTTCGCCAAAATGTTTGTCTATTAAATAACTTTAAAATGGTCTACAACATGACATATGTTAACATTTGAAAATTCCGAGATTCGAACTAATGACGCTCAGTGTTTTTTTTTTTTTATCAATTATCAATTATGAATTATCAATTATTTAAGATGGGGACGCCACTATGTGCGTATTTTAACCCAAATATGAGTGAAGGATGAGTGTAGGATGAGTGGCGCGATCTTGTAGTCTTGTTAGTGACTAAGGCCGACATGTTCCTTAGACACAGCTGTTAATTAATAGCCCATACAGCTAATGGCAACTAAGGGACCTACAGTTTATAGTGGAATCCGAACCACATTTTTCCTTGTAATTTACGAATTGGTCTGATTATCAAGATGTTTGGCACACCTTGTATCGGAAAAATATATTTTTACGTTATTCCTTGGAGTTAATTTAGCGGGAAATAATTTTATTTCATCCTTGTACGTTAAGCCGTTTTTTTTTCACAATCAATTTGAGACACCCTGTATAGCTGTATTTTTTTCAGTGGGATAATACTTTAGATGAGATTAACTTCTTGCAGGCTCCCAAACACTTATTGACACTTAATAACTTAGTACAGTAGAACCTCTTTAATCCGAACTAATTGGGACCAGGGGTAGTTCGGACTATTGAATTGACTATTGAACATATTGTTGTTTTTACATAACAATAGCTAAAACATGGCTAAAATTTATCAAAATTATTTTGGGAAAAGTAAAAAAATTTTTTATAAAGTAAAATACAGTGTTTATTTAATACAGTAGTAAATATGGTAAATAAACAGTACTGTAAATTAAATACAGTATACAATAAAGAACTGCTATACTGTGTATAGTGTACAGCAATGAGGGGTTCGGATTAGTGGACGTTCGGATTACGGGGGTTCGGATTAAAGAGGTTCTACTGTAACTTCGTCTTCTGAATTTTTACTGTTTATAGTCAAAAATTGTAGGTAAAAGAAATATGAATAAACATAAATCAGTACACAGAATACTTTGGTACTTTATTTATCCTGCCCTGGCGTAGACCGATTGTCCAATCTTCTGCCATAAGAAAACCCACTCGTCAAGTTCTGAATAGTTTTCTATTTACTACTGGGCTATAGTACTTAAAAAAATCTTAATATTATCTGGAAAATTTAGGTGAAACATAACAAAGAAGTATTATAATGATGAGCGCAAGGAGATAACAACTAATGTATTGTATTCAGACCAAATCTGACAAGGAGAATAACGTAGAAATGTCACTATAAGACAATATTGTGAACAACTTGAATTATCTTGCAAGAACCTGTCCAAACTTTGATGAGTTAGTTGAACATCTGTAAGGCTTCATGCAGTACGGAGAACTTAGAGATCGTTGGAATCGTCTTATCTAAGAATAAAGATATATGAGCTGTCTTCAAGTCAGCTGCATTATTCTATTTGAGGTAAAAAAAATATCTTGGTTGTGGTTTAAAGGAGTGAAATATTCATATAAAAAAGAGAAATAAAAAAAAGCTTGTAGTGTTCAAACTAACGGATGGAAGAGTCAACATCTGCTGTTTAGCAAACACATAAATCATTTAAGTACTTTTAATAATTATGAGGAATATATGTAATAGCTACATTATAGTAATCAAGGGTAAATATTTTTAACATTATAATGTTATAATAAGTTTTGCATTTTCTAGAAACAAATGATGAATGAAAATACGACGCTGGGCCATTTTTCTGAAATAAAATATGAAAAGCTCTGATTGTAGAAATAGTGTACTGCTGGTATTTTTACATGATAAAATAAATCTCAAGTGGTATATTATATATTAAAGTTAAAATTACCGCTAAATTTAATTGACCACTAATTCAGTTTAGATTTGCTCAGTGTAGTATGTGTCTTAGGACTTATTTCTCAGTCAAGCTGTAAACCCTTGTTTAGTTACTTGTATGAAAGTATTTTCATTGCCAATAGGGAGTTAACAGTATTAAAAATACTTTAATACTTTCTTATTAAATGGCGACCATACAAACTAGGTATTTTAAGCCAAGTATTAAAGTAGATGAGTGCAGGATGAGTGTCGCGATCTTGTAGTCTTGTTAGTGACTAAGGCCGACGTTCCTTAGACACAGCTGTTAATCAATAGCCATATAGCTAATGGCAACTAAGGGACCTACAGTTTTAGTTTATAGAGGAATCCGAACCACATTTTTGCCTTGGTATATACGAATTGGTCTAATTATCATATAGTACTCACTCGTGCGGACATTAATCCACACCAGGGAGTATCGCATCCACAGTGCATGCATGAGAATAAATAAACTGTTGTACCTATCTTGTTTATGGATTTATTTTAATCAAATCCGGTAACTTTTGTTAAGTTCACTATGCTATCAAAATTTCAATAAAAACACCTCATTACCGGCCCTGTAGTAGCAAACCTAAGTAGGCTACTCATTAAAAATAATATTATTTAAATAAAAATAAATCTGACAGTTTTAAAGTGGAATTTTTTTGGGGAAATCCGGTCATGTTAAAGGGAAATTCTTTTGGACTAGAGGTTTTGCTGTGGCTGGGGTATTATAATTATAATTACATAAAGGTTGTAATTTCCTTGACAGCCATTACACTGTCTAACACCCTATGATTTAATTTGAAAAGATAAACTTATTGAAAAAAGTACTTACTTAAAAAACCCTACTTATATTTGATGCAGTAATGTCGATTTCTAGGGAATTCCCCGGAATATTGGGTGGGTTGGTCCATGGATTTTCCAGGGATTTCATTTTACTAACTTTAAAAATATTAAAATTTAAAAGTATAATTTAAATGTTTTATGTTAAAATGTGATATAAAAAATAATATTGGACAATATTTAAATTTACGATTCAGTACTTGGGTTGCTTGTGTAGGCAGTGGCAAAAAACAGTAAGTTACAAAAATACATTTCTTGTAAATCATCAGTGAATTGGATTGGATGGCAATGACTGGACTAGGATTGGAACTGAACCCATATATTAAAAACCAAAGCGAAGCACTTTTGACTGTTTCAAGAGTATGTTTCTATAGTTAGTGTTTAGATCTGATCCCCGTCACTCTCCAGCGAGAGGACAAGTGCAGAAGCACAATGCACAAAGCAAGACTGTGGTCATGGTTGATAATCACAGCATGTATTAAATGATTTATATTCTCCTAAAAGTTAAAACTCGTGTTGTATAACAACAACGTTATTGCTACTAAATAATGGAGAAACAATTTACTGAATTTTAATTTTACTATGGAAGACTTGAGATATTATATTCTGCTCTCTCGTGTATTGATGTGATTTTATTCTGTTAACCAGATGAAGTATTAGCATGTGTATGAACTAACCAACGTACAGTATTAGCTTTGACGATTGAGTACCCTAAAGTCAATGGTAAGCTTTGGATAATATTATGAGCTCTGAAAATCCTAATGAAATTGTATGAGTAGAGTTTTAGCATAGATTAAACATACTCTCTTATTGATAAGTCATCATCCGTATGGATCAGAAAGACAATTTCAATGTTAGTTACGGCCGGTTTTATATGGGGATGTGTTTTTGTTTACAATTTGCTTATCATTGCATACAATTCTGTAAGAAAACATATTTACTAGAAAATTGTGGACGTCAGGTAAGTCGCAGAAAAGTGGAAGAGGTCTTAAATTAAAGGTCTTGACCCCAGGGACTCGGGAAAACAGCAGAATTCCCATAAATTTGCCAGAAAACGAGATATAACGTAAATTGTTCTCCATAAGAATAGCATTAGAAGCCATTTACTGCTGATTTTTGTTTACCTCAATACAGCTGATCGTGATGTATCATTAAGCCAGTGGGCAATATTACATTTAGATATCACATTTGCCAGTCAATTCTGCAATGTAATGTACACTATATAAAACCAGGGATAACATTACCTATCATGGTTAACTATAATAATTAAGACATTTTAGTTACGACTTAGAATCAATTTGGTTTTTAACATTTCTTTTCGTAACAGTATTGTATGCAGAAAATCCTTTACATCTAAAAACAATTTAACTAGGATTGCTTTCATAGCAGTGAAAGCCAGTTGAGCGGAACAATCGTGTTTCATGGTTTTTAATAAAACAATAAATGAACAAATATTTATAGATATAATAAAAAATAGAAATGTTCCTACACTCTGCACTGTTAGGCTTTATTACTACTTCCTTCTCCACTTCAACGTCGTGAACCTGTTTTCCTCCCTTCCCATAGCATTTTAGTATCGCATATATATTAATGTATGTAACTGCCAAAAACGTTTCCACACTCCGCAATGCCAATCTTACTACTTCCTTCACCACTTACTACGTCATGGACCTGTTTCCCTCCCTTCTCATAGCATTTTAGTATTGCAGATCCATTAATGTAACCGCCACAAACGTTTCCCACACTCCGCACTTCTCGCCTTTACTGCTTCCTTTACCACTTCCCACATCGTGGACCTGTTTTAGCTTGCCATGTATGAGATGGATCCCTGAATGTGATTCACCGAGGAATTGTATAAGATAGTTTTATTTAACGTTATTTAGCTACGTAAATAAAATTTGTTAAATACTGTACCTAAGTTATATATGACTGTACCTTTTCGATCAGTGGATGTTTCCAAATTGCGACTTACATAAAACTTTTGCTGTATTATTTGATCTGTTGTCGGTTTTTTCACTTTGTACTGTGTTTAAGTTGTGGCTTGATTTTAACATATGCCATGATTCTTTGTTTTGTTTACATTTACGTCGTTATTTTGTAACCATCATGGCAACCCATATGGTCAATGTTAAAAATTAAAAACGTTGAGTTACTTTAAATTATATAGGCACTATCAAAAATTGAAATTGCTTACATCTAAGCCATCCAAACATTTGACAAAACAACCTTGATAAGTTTGGCTAAAATATGTTCAGCCATTATTAAGATTAATTGTTATAAACATTAATTGAAGTTGATCCCAAAGAGGTTCGCTTCGCTCCACTCAAAAAACATACAATGGTTCATACGGGAGAGCGGCCTCATAAGTGGAAAATACTACATGTGGAAAATCCTTCTCAAGCAAAAGCAATTACAACAAACACATATAAATTCAGAGCAACGAGCATCCTAAAAATTTGTAATACGTGTAAAAATGCCTTCAATTGTTAAGACAATTTGTATATACATATATTGGTCATAATAAATTCTGTATGTGTGATAGTGTTTGTCTAATGAAAGTTGTGTTCTTTCAGGAATGAAAATAGAAGAACTCAGGCATAAGAAATAAAAACCTATTGCCAAACGAGTCCTAATTTGGATTGTACGTAGGACAACACCTCCCTCCACGGTAGTACCTTGAACTTATAGAAATAACAGACTGAAGATTCTTATGAACATGAAACATTACCAATAAACTTCCTGATTTTTTACTAGAAATTCTGATAATCTGAGTTTCACAACAATAGAAAGTGCAAAGCTAAAAATGCCAAAGCAATCCAAAGAGCTTTTTCATAAGTGTCCAATATGTGGACAATCATTAAAAATGAAATATCAAATGAAGGTTCATATAATAAAACATACGAACGAACACCCTTATAAATGCTTAACATGCGGTAAATCATTTATTAAGCTATGTCACGTAAAAGGTCATTTGTTGACACACTCTGGGAAGTCTCCTTATAAATGCATTACATGTGGGAAATGCTTTGTATCTAAAGGCAAATTGAAAGTACATACAATGGATCATACAGGAGAGCAGCCTCATAAATGTATTACATGCGGAAAATCCTTTGTATATGAAAGCAATTTGAAAGAACATACAAAGGTTCATACAGGAGAGCGACCTTATATTTGCATTACTTGTGGAAAACCCTTTGTATCTAAAAGCAATTTGAAAGTACATACAAGGGGTCATACAGGAGAGCGACCTCATAAGTGTACTACATGCGGAAAATCCTTTGTATATAAAAGCAGTTTGAAAGTACATACAAGGGTTCATACAGGAGAGAGACCTCATATATGCATTACTTGTGGAAAATCCTTTGTATCTACAAGCCGATTGAAAGAACATTCAATGGTTCATACAGGAGAGCGACCTCATAAATGTATTACATGCGGAAAATCCTTTGTATCTGTAAGCAAATTAAAGGAACATACAATGGTTCATACAGGAGAGCGACCTCATATTTGCATTACTTGTGGAAAATCCTTTGTATTCAGAAGCAATTTGAAAATGCATACAATGGATCATACAGGAGAGCGACCTCATAAGTGCACTACATGCGGGAAATCCTTTGTATCTGAAAGTAAATTGAAAGTACATACAATGGTTCATACAGGAGAGCGACCTCATAAATGCACTACATGCGGGAAATCCTTTGTATCTGAAAGTAAATTGAAAGAACATACAATGGTTCATACAGGAGAGCGACCTCATAAGTGCACTACATGCGGGAAATCCTTTGTATCTGAAAGTAAATTGAAAGTACATACAATGGTTCATACAGGAGAGCGACCTCATAAGTGCACAACATGCGGGAAATCCTTTGTATCTGAAAGTAAATTGAAAGAACATACAATGGTTCATACAGGCGAGCAACCTCATAAATGCACTACATGCGGGAAATCCTTTGTATCTGAAAGTAAATTGAAAGTACATACAATGGTTCATACAGGAGAGCGACCTCATAAGTGCACTACATGCGGGAAATCCTTTGTATCTGAAAGTAAATTGAAAGTACATACAACGGTTCATACAGGAGAGCGACCTCATAAATGCACTACATGCGGGAAATCCTTTGTATCTGAAAGTAAATTAAAAGTACATACAATGGATCATACAGGAGAGCGACCTCATAAGTGCACTACATGCGGGAAATCCTTTGTATCTGAAAGTAAATTGAAAGTACATACAATGGTTCATACAGGAGAGCGACCTCATAAGTGCACTACATGCGGGAAATCCTTTGTATCTGAAAGTAAATTGAAAGAACATACAATGGTTCATACAGGAGAGCGACCTCATAAATGCACTACATGCGGGAAATCCTTTGTATCTGAAAGTAAATTGAAAGAACATACAATGGTTCATACAGGAGAGCGACCTCATAAATGCACTACATGCGGGAAATCCTTTGTATCTGAAAGTAAATTGAAAGAACATACAATGGTTCATACAGGAGAGCGACCTCATAAATGCACTACATGCGGGAAATCCTTTGTATCTGAAAGTAAATTGAAAGAACATACAATGGTTCATACAGGAGAGCGACCTCATAAGTGCACTACATGCGGGAAATCCTTTGTATCTGAAAGTAAATTGAAAGAACATACAATGGTTCATACAGGAGAGCGACCTCATAAATGCACTCCATGCGGAAAATCCTTTGTATCTAAAAGCAAATTGAAAGAACATACAATGGTTCATACAGGAGAGCGACCTCATATTTGCATTACTTGTGGAAAATCTTTTGTATTCAGAAGCAATTTGAAAATGCATACAATGGATCATACAGGAGAGCGACCTCATAAGTGCACTACATGCGGGAAATCCTTTGTATCTGAAAGTAAATTGAAAGTACATACAATGGTTCATACAGGAGAGCGACCTCATATTTGCTTTACTTGTGGAAAATCCTTCGTATCTAAAAGCAATTTAAAAGTACATACAATGTTTCATACAGGAGAGCGACCTCATATATGCATTACTTGTGGAAAATCCTTTGTATCTAAAGGCAATTTGAAAGCACATAGAATAGTTCACACAGGAGAGCGCCCTCATAAATGCACTACTTGTGGAAAATCCTTTGCATTAAAAAAAAGTTATAAAAGACATCTATTAACTCATGGCAATGGACATCCTTATAAATGTAATACATGTAAAAAAGCATTCAAATCAAAGGATACTTTGAAAAAACATATTTTGGTTCATACGGGAGATAAACACAACTGTACTACAGTGGGAACTCCTTCTTAAATCAAAGGCAATTGTAAGAATCATGTATTAATTCATTGCAATTAGCATACTTATAATTGCTTCACATGTGAAGAATCCTTTGTATCTGAAAGAAAATAACATCAATTGGTATATACAGGAGAGTGACCTCATTATTTGTAAAGAATCCTCTTATAAATAATTTATGATAAATTTATATTACTGTAAGTCATGTACCTAAGCGTCCCTATAACTTGTTTAAAAAACATTTAATTTAAAATAGTAATTGAAAAAAACGTACAATGAATCATACCAGAGCAACCTTAAACTGTTTGTAATTTACATACTGCCGTGGCTCCATAAATCTCAGTTGATTCTTCGCCTCGTGTACCAGCTTCTTCCATCCGAACTGTCTTCTGCCAAGTTGATGTTTGCACAGATTGTCCTAACATCGTTCAATACTTGGTCAGTCCATCTGAATTTCAGCCTTCCCAATGTACGTTTACTTCCAGTTGTAGCTCTCCAAACTTCATACAGTCTTGTTCCTTTCTCTCTTCTTGGCACATGCCCTATCCAACTTATCCTTCTTCCTTTAACCATTGCAACAATTTTCGGTTTGATGTATAGTGATCTTATCACTCTATTTTTCCTTATCCGCCACATACTCTCTGTTTTAGTTTATAATTCTTGGGATAAATAAACGTTTTTCATTTCATTTCACATTTCTCCCTCTTGCACTGGTCCAAATATTTTTCTTAGGACTTTATTTTCAAAAACCATGAGTCGTTTTTCATCATTCTTGGACGATACCCATATTTCACATCCATATAACAGAATAGGTTAAATTATTGTCTAATACAGGGTGTGTTATTGCCAGGTAAGGTGTCTAAATTGATACCAAAAATTGACTTACCGTACAAGGATGAAATAAAATTATTCTCCGTTAAATCGACCCAAGGCATAACGTAAAAATAACTTTTTTCTGATAAAGGGTGTGCCAAAAACTGTCATTAGTTCCAATCTTGGAAAATTCAAATGTAAACATATGTCATGTCATACATCATTTTAAAGTTATTTAATAGACAAACATTTTACAGGAAGAAAAATTAATGATCTGTTTCCGTTTCTAAATAGTGGCAGTTTTTGGGAATTTGATTTTTGAAAATTCGCAAATGCTTATTGTTTTTAAATTGTACAATAGTAATAGGTATTTATGTATGTTTGCACAAAGATCTCAAAATCGGCTTCGAAGATATTCTTTTCTTTAAATGTTGTAAATATATTACTTCTGGCCTAAAAACGAGTTTACTGCAGTTAGAATTGCCAACGAAAATCTAATCATGTAGAAAAACGAAACTGAAAGTCACATTTTCTTAACATTAGTCTTAGGGGTTGATAAGTAACCATGTTGGTTGAATTAAATAACAAGGAAAAAGTAAACAAAAGACAAATATGTCAAGTGGCACATCATTTTATAGGGTTTTCAATTCTTAACAACTTTTTAGTTTGCACTTACTTCATATAACTTTTAGTTTTTGTCTAAATAATAAAATACCTAATTTTCCTATATCAAATGCATTTTATTTGGGTTTAACCAAGGCCGCACTATTAACACTAATGGCCCCAATGACATATGTTGCTATTTGGAAACTTTAAACAATGGGCATTTGCAAATATTCATAAATAATTTTTTTTTTATTATTTCAATAAATGGTCATTTGTGGCATATCACATTAAAACTAATTTCATAAATAGTAAGAAAATTCAACAGGAGAAGGGCTAAGTGTATTTGTAAAGGAAACGCAGTGAATTAAAAACATATTGATTCTTTCCAAATAAAAAACCACCACCATTTGGAAACAAAAACAGATCATTCATTTATGTTTTTGCCAAAATGTTTGTCTGTTAAATAACTTTAAAATGGTCTACAACGTGACATATGTTTACATTTGAAAATTCCGAGATTCAAACTAATGACGCTCAGTGTTTGGCACACCCTGTATCGGAAAAATATATTTTTACGTTATTCCTTGGAGTTAATTTAGCGGGAAATAATTTTATTTCATCCTTGTACGTTAAGCCATTTTTTTTTCACAATCAATTTGAGACACCCTGTATAGCTGTATTTTTTTCAGTGGGATAATACTTTAGATGAGATTAACTTCTTGCAGGCTCCCAAACACTTATTGACACTTAATAACTTAGTACAGTAGAACCTCTTTAATCCGAACTAATTGGAACCAGGGGTAGTTCGGACTATTGAATTGACTATTGAACATATTGTTGTTTTTACATAACAATAGCTAAAACATGGCTAAAATTTATCAAAATTATTTTGGGAAAAGTAAAAAAATGTTTTATAAAGTAAAAGTACAGTGTTTATTTAATACAGTAGTAAATATGGTAAATAAACAGTACTGTAAATTAAATACAGTATACAATAAAGAACTGCTATACTGTGTATAGTGTACAGCAATGAGGGGTTCGGATTAGTGGACGTTCGGATTACGGGGGTTCGGATTAAAGAGATTCTACTGTAACTTCGTCTTTTGAATTTTACTGTTTATAGTCAAAAATTGTAGGTAAAAGAAATATGAATAAACATAAATCAGTACACAGAATACTTTAGTACTTTATTTATCCTGCCCTGGCGTAGACCGATTGTCCAATCTTCTGCCATAAGAAAACCCACTCGTCAAGTTCTGAATAGTTTTCTATTTACTACTGGGCTATAGTACTTAAAAAAAATCATAATATTATCTGGAAAATTTAGGTGAAACATAACAAAGAAGTATTATAATGATGAGCGCAAGGAGATAACAACTAATGTATTGTATTCAGACCAAATCTGACAAGGAGAATAACGTAGAAATGTCACTATAAGACAATATTGTGAACAACTTGAATTATCTTGCAAGAACCTGTCCAAACTTTGATGAGTTAGTTGAACATCTGTAAGGCTTCATGCAGTACGGAGAACTTAGAGATTGTTGGAATCGTCTTATCTAAGAATAAAGATATATGAGCTGTCTTCAAGTCAGCTGCATTATTCTATTTGAGGTAAAAAAAATATCTTGGTTGTGGTTTAAAGGAGTGAAATATTCATATAAAAAAGAGAAATAAAAAAAAGCTTGTAGTGTTCAAACTAACGGATGGAAGAGTCAACATCTGCTGTTTAGCAAACACATAAATCATTTAAGTACTTTTAATAATTATGAGGAATATATGTAATAGCTACATTATAGTAATCAAGGGTAAATATTTTTAACATTAAATGTTATAATAAGTTTTGCATTTTCTAGAAACAAATGATGAATGAAAATACGACGCTGGGCCATTTTTCTGAAATAAAATATGAAAAGCTCTGATTGTAGAAATAGTGTACTGCTGGTATTTTTACATGATAAAATAAATCTCAAGTGGTATATTATATATTAAAGTTAAAATTACCGCTAAATTTAATTGACCACTAATTCAGTTTAGATTTGCTCAGTGTAGTATGTGTCTTAGGACTTATTTCTCAGTCAAGCTGTAAACCCTTGTTTAGTTACTTGTATGAAAGTATTTTCATTGCCAATAGAGAGTTAACAGTATTAAAAATACTTTATTACTTTCTTATTAAATGGCGACCATACAAACTAGGTATTTTAAGCCAAGTATTAAAGTATATGAGTGCAGGATGAGTGTCGCGATCTTGTAGTCTTGTTAGTGACTAAGGCCGACGTTCCTTAGACACAGCTGTTAATCAATAGCCATATAGCTAATGGCAACTAAGGGACCTACAGTTTTAGTTTATAGAGGAATCCGAACCACATTTTTGCCTTGGTATATACGAATTGGTCTAATTATCATATAGTACTGCGGATAGTTATAGTACTCACTCGTGCGGACGTTAATCCACACCAGGGAGTATCGCATTCCACAGTGCATGCATGAGAATAAATAAACTGTTGTACCTATCTTGTTTGTACCTATCTTGTTTATGGATATATTTTAATCAAATCCGGTAACTTTTGTTAAGTTCACTATGCTATCAAAATTTCAATAAAAACACACCTCATTACCGGCCCTGTAGTAGCAAACCTAAGTAGGCTACTCATTAAAAATAATATTATTTAAATAAAAATAAATCTGACAGTTTTAAAGGGGAATTTTTTGGGGGAAATCCGGTCATGTTAAAGGGAAATTCTCTTGGACTAGAGGTTTTGCTGTGGCTGGGGTATTATAATTATAATTACATAAAGGTTGTAATTTCCTTGACAGCCATTACACTGTCTAACACCCTATGATTTAATTTGAAAAGATAAACTTATTGAAAAAAGTACTTACTTAAAAAACCCTACTTATATTTGATGCAGTAATGTCGATTTCTAGGGAATTCCCCGGAATATTGGGTGGGTTGGTCCATGGATTTTCCAGGGATTTCATTTTACTAACTTTAAAAATATTAAAATTTAAAAGTATAATTTAAATGTTTTATGTTAAAATGTGATATAAAAAATAATATTGGACAGTATTTAAATTTACGATTCAGTACTTGGGTTGCTTGTGAAGGCAGTGGCAAAAAACAGTAAGTTACAAAAATACATTTCTTGCAAATCATCAGTGAATTGGATTGGATGGCAATGACTGGACTAGGATTGGAACTGAACCCATATATTAAAAACCAAAGCGAAGCACTTTTGACTGTTTCAAGAGTATGTTTCTATAGTTAGTGTTTAGATCTGATCCCCGTCACTCTCCAGCGAGAGGACAAGTGCAGAAGCACAATGCACAAAGCAAGACTGTGGTCATGGTTGATAATCACAGCATGTATTAAATGATTTATATTCTCCTAAAAGTTAAAACTCGTGTTGTATAACTACAACGTTATTGCTACTAAATAATGGAGAAACAATTTACTGAATTTTAATTTTACTATGGAAGACTTGAGATATTATATTCTGCTCTCTCGTGTATTGATGTGATTTTATTCTGTTAACCAGATGAAGTATTATCATGTGTATGAACTAACCAATGTATTAGCGTTGACGATTGAGTGTCCTAAAGTCAATGGTAAGCTTTGGATAATATTATGAGCTCTGAAAATCCGAATGAAGTTGAATAGGTAGAGTTTTAGCTTAGATTAAACATACTCTCTTGTTGATAAGTCATCAACCGTATGGATCAGAAAGACAATTTCAATGTTAGTTACAGCCGATTTTATGTAGGGATGAGTTTTTTTTTTTTACAATTTGCTTATCCTTATAAATAATTTCGTTAGGAAATTTTTTACCAAAGAATTGTGGACGTCTGGTAAGTTGCAGAAAAGTGGGAGGGGTCTTAAATTAAAGGTCTTGGCCGCAGGGACTCTGGAAAAATATCAGAATTCCCATAAAGTTACTAGAAAACGAGATATAGCCAAAATGTTCTCCATTAGAATAGCATTTAAAGCCAATTATTGCTGATTTATGTTTACTTCTATACAGCTGATCGTGATGTATCATTAAGCCAGCAGGCAATATTACATTTTGGATTACTCATTTGCCAGTCAATTCTGCAATTTACTGTACACTATGTAAAACCAGGAATAACGTTACCTATAATAATTAAGTCTTTTTAGTTACGTCTTAGAAAGTTAAAATTCATTAAAAAACCCATATAAATTTGGTTTTTAACATTTATTTTCATAACAGTATTGTGTGCAAAAAATTCTTTGTATCTAAAAACATACAATGGTTCATATGAGAGAGTGACCTCATCAGTGGAAAATACTACATGTGAAAATCCTTCTCAAGCAAAAGCAATTACAGCAAACGAATTAATTCAAAGCAATGAGCAACCTTTTATAGTGTGATTGTTGACGGAAAGCGGCTGGCTGAAGGGTCGACCCTACTCACACACACGCAGGCCTCACACACACAGACGCAAGGGATTAGGACGGACGTGGGACGGACCATTGTCCTGCCGCGCGAGTCATCGCTGGCTCACAGAAATTAAACTATGAATTTTTTTAATTTATGTTTGTTAAAAAATCTGGTAACGCTTTTGACTTCAGCTCAAAATGCTTAGTAAAATGATACCAAAAATATATATTTTGCTTATAAAGTGTAAAAGCTACGAATATTTTAACACGCTTTGATTAGCTAGCTACTTGTCATAATCGTTTCGTGTTTGGACTCATTTTTCATTGAATTAAACAACAAATGTATTAACCATTTTACTGTATATCTAACATCAAATGAATTGCAATTTTGAGGTATCATACAACAGATGTTATATTTTGACTTAGTGAATAGGGGATCGGGGCTTTCAGGCTATTAGGACGGTGGTGAGTGTGCGTGCGTGAGTCGGGTCCATCGCAGGTAGGGCTGAGCTCCAGCCGCACTCCGGTAAAAATCAGACTATAATTGTAATACGTGTTAAAAGGCCTTCAATTGTAAAGACAATTAGTATATATATATATATTGGTCATAATAAATTATGTATGTGTGTTAGTGTTTATCTAATGAAAGTTGTGTTATTTCAGGAATGAAAATAGAAGAACTCAGGCATAAGAAAAAAGAACCAATTGCCAAACGAGCAATCCTAATTTGGATTGTACGTACAAAAGAGGAGATGACAACACCTCCACGGTAATACCTTGAACTTATAGAAATAACGGACTAAAGATTCATATGAAAATGAAACATTACCAATAAAACTCCTGATTTTTGACTAGATATTCTAATAATCTGACTTTCACAACTATAGAAAGTGCAAAGCTAAAAATGCCAAAGCACTCCAAAGAGTTTTTTCTTAAGTGTCCAATATGTGGACAATCATTAAAAATGAAATATCAAATGAAGGTTCATATATTAAAACATACCAACGAACACCCTTATAAATGCTTAACATGCGGTAAATCATTTAATAAGCTGAGTCACGTAAAAAGTCATTTGTTGACACACTCTGGGAAGTCTCATAAATGCATTACATGCGGGGAATACTTTGTATCCAAAAGCCAATTGAAATTGCATACAATGGTTCATACAGGAGAGAGACCTCATATCTGCATTACTTGTGGAAAATCCTTTGTATCTAAACACAATTTGAAAGTACATACAATGTTTCATACAGGAGAACGACCTCATATTTGCATTACTTGTGGAAAATCCTTTGTATCTAAAAGCAAATTGAAAGTACATACAATGTTTCATACAGGAGAACGACCTCATAAGTGTTCTACATGTGGAAAATCCTTTGTATTAAAATATAGTTATGAAAGGCATCTATTAATTCATGGCAATGGACAAAGTACATTGAAAGTACATACAATGGATCATACAGGAGAGCAGCCTCATAAATGTATTACATGCGGAAAATCCTTTGTATATGAAAGCAATTTGAAAGAACATACAAAGGTTCATACAGGAGAGCGACCTTATATTTGCATTACTTGTGGAAAATCCTTTGTATCTAAAAGCAATTTGAAAGTACATACAAGGGGTCATACAGGAGAGCGACCTCATAAGTGTACTACATGCGGAAAATCCTTTGTATATAAAAGCAGTTTGAAAGTACATACAAGGGTTCATACAGGAGAGAGACCTCATATATGCATTACTTGTGGAAAATCCTTTGTATCAACAAGCCGATTGAAAGAACATTCAATGGTTCATACAGGAGAGCGACCTCATAAATGTATTACATGCGGAAAATCCTTTGTATCTGTAAGCAAATTAAAGGAACATACAATGGTTCATACAGGAGAGAGACCTCATATATGCATTACTTGTGGAAAATCCTTTGTATCTACAAGCCGATTGAAAGAACATACAATGGTTCATACAGGAGAGCGACCTCATAAATGCACTCCATGCGGAAAATCCTTTGTATCTAAAAGCAAATTGAAAGAACATACAATGGTTCATACAGGAGAGCGACCTCATATTTGCATTACTTGTGGAAAATCCTTTGTATTCAGAAGCAATTTGAAAATGCATACAATGGATCATACAGGAGAGCGACCTCATAAGTGCACTACATGCGGGAAATCCTTTGTATCTAAAAGTAAATTGAAAGTACATACAATGGTTCATACAGGAGAGCGACCTCATATTTGCTTTATTTGTGGAAAATTCTTCGTATCTAAAAGCAATTTGAAATCACATACAATGTTTCATACAGGAGAGCGACCTCATATATGCATTACTTGTGGAAAATCCTTTGTATCTAAAGGCAATTTGAAAGCACATAGAATAGTTCATACAGGAGAGCGCCCTCATAAATGCACTACTTGTGGAAAATCCTTTGCATTAAAAAAAAGTTATAAAAGACATCTATTAACTCATGGCAATGGACATCCTTATAAATGTAATACATGTAAAAAAGCATTCAAATCAAAGGATACTTTGAAAAAACATATTTTGGTTCATACGGGAGATAAACACAACTGTACTACAGTGGGAACTCCTTCTTAAATTAAAGGCAATTGTAAGAATCATGTATTAATTCATTGCAATTAGCATACTTATAATTGCTTCACATGTGAAGAATCCTTTGTATCTGAAAGAAAATAACATCAATTGGTATATACAGGAGAGTGACCTCATTATTTGTAAAGAATCCTCTTATAAATAATTTATGATAAATTTATATTACTGTAAGTCATGTACCTAAGCGTCCCTATAACTTGTTTAAAAAACATTTAATTTAAAATAGTAATTGAAAAAAACGTACAATGAATCATACCAGAGCAACCTTAAACTGTTTGTAATTTACATACTGCCGTGGCTCCATAAATCTCAGTTGATTCTTCGCCTCGTGTACCAGCTTCTTCCATCCGAACTGTCTTCTGCCAAGTTGATGTTTGCACAGATTGTCCTAACATCGTTCAATACTTGGTCAGTCCATCTGAATTTCAGCCTTCCCAATGTACGTTTACTTCCAGTTGTAGCTCTCCAAACTTCATACAGTCTTGTTCCTTTCTCTCTTCTTGGCACATGCCCTATCCAACTTATCCTTCTTCCTTTAACCATTGCAACAATTTTCGGTTTGATGTATAGTGATCTTATCACTCTATTTTTCCTTATCCGCCACATACTCTCTGTTTTAGTTTATAATTCTTGGGATAAATAAACGTTTTTCATTTCATTTCACATTTCTCCCTCTTGCACTGGTCCAAATATTTTTCTTAGGACTTTATTTTCAAAAACCATGAGTCGTTTTTCATCATTCTTGGACGATACCCATATTTCACATCCATATAACAGAATAGGTTAAATTATTGTCTAATACAGGGTGTGTTATTGCCAGGTAAGGTGTCTAAATTGATACCAAAAATTGACTTACCGTACAAGGATGAAATAAAATTATTCTCCGTTAAATCGACCCAAGGCATAACGTAAAAATAACTTTTTTCTGATAAAGGGTGTGCCAAAAACTGTCATTAGTTCCAATCTTGGAAAATTCAAATGTAAACATATGTCATAACATACATCATTTTAAAGTTATTTAATAGACAAACATTTTACAGGAAGAAAAATTAATGATCTGTTTCCGTTTCTAAATAGTGGCAGTTTTTGGGAATTTGATTTTTGAAAATTCGCAAATGCTTATTGTTTTTAAATTGTACAATAGTAATAGGTATTTATGTATGTTTGCACAAAGATCTCAAAATCGGCTTCGAAGATATTCTTTTCTTTAAATGTTGTAAATATATTACTTCTGGCCTAAAAACGAGTTTACTGCAGTTAGAATTGCCAACGAAAATCTAATCATGTAGAAAAACGAAACTGAAAGTCACATTTTCTTAACATTAGTCTTAGGGGTTGATAAGTAACCATGTTGGTTGAATTAAATAACAAGGAAAAAGTAAACAAAAGACAAATATGTCAAGTGGCACATCATTTTATAGGGTTTTCAATTCTTAACAACTTTTTAGTTTGCACTTACTTCATATAACTTTTAGTTTTTGTCTAAATAATAAAATACCTAATTTTCCTATATCAAATGCATTTTATTTGGGTTTAACCAAGGCCGCACTATTAACACTAATGGCCCCAATGACATATGTTGCTATTTGGAAACTTTAAACAATGGGCATTTGCAAATATTCATAAATAATTTTTTTTTTATTATTTCAATAAATGGTCATTTGTGGCATATCACATTAAAACTAATTTCATAAATAGTAAGAAAATTCAACAGGAGAAGGGCTAAGTGTATTTGTAAAGGAAACGCAGTGAATTAAAAACATATTGATTCTTTCCAAATAAAAAACCACCACCATTTGGAAACAAAAACAGATCATTCATTTATGTTTTTGCCAAAATGTTTGTCTGTTAAATAACTTTAAAATGGTCTACAACGTGACATATGTTTACATTTGAAAATTCCGAGATTCAAACTAATGACGCTCAGTGTTTGGCACACCCTGTATCGGAAAAATATATTTTTACGTTATTCCTTGGAGTTAATTTAGCGGGAAATAATTTTATTTCATCCTTGTACGTTAAGCCATTTTTTTTTCACAATCAATTTGAGACACCCTGTATAGCTGTATTTTTTTCAGTGGGATAATACTTCCGTGGCTCCATAAATCTCAGTTGATTCTTCGCCCCGTGTACCAGCTTCTTCCATCCGAACTGTCTTCTGCCAAGTTGATGTTTGCACCCATTGTCCTAACATCATTCAATACTTGGTCAGTCCATCTGAATTTCGGCCTTCCCAATGTACGTTTACTTCCAGTTGTAGCTCTCCAAACTTCATACAGTCTTGTTCCTTTCTCTCTTCTTAGCACATACCCTATCCAACTTATCCTTCTTCCTTTAATCATTGCAACAATATCCGGTTCGGTGCATAGTAATCTTGTCCCTCTATTTTTCCTTATCCGCCACATACTCTCTGTTTTAGTTTATAGTTCTTGGGATAAATAAAAGTTTTTCATTTCATTTCATTTTTCATTTCAATTCACATTCCTCCCTCTTGCACTGGTCCAAATATTTTTCTTAGTACTTTATTTTCAAAAAACATGAGTTGTTTATCATTATTCTTGGACGATACCCATGTTTCACATCCATATAACAGAATAAGTTAAATTATTGTCTAATACAGGGTGTGTTATAGTCACGTAAGGTGTCTCAAATTGATACCAAAAATTGACTTACCGTACAAGGATGAAATAAAATTATTCTCCGTTAAATCGACCCAAGGCATAACGTAAAAATGTTTTTTAACTTTTTTCTGATTAAGAAGGGTGTGCCAAAAACTGTCATTAGTTCCAATCTTGGAAAATTCAAATGTAAACATATGTCATGTCATACATCATTTTAAAGTTATTTAATAGACAAACATTTTAGAAGAAGAAAAATTAATGATCTGTTTCCGTTTCTAAATAGTGGCAGTTTTTGGGAATTTGATTTTTGAAAATTCGCAAATGCTTATTGTTTTCAAATTTTCCAATAGTAATAGGTATTTATGTACGTTTGCACAAAGGTCTCAAAAACGGCATCGAAGATTTTCTTTTCTTCAAATGTTGTAAATATATTACTTCTGGCCTAAAAACGAGTTTACTGCAGTTAGAATTGCCAACGAAAATCTAATCATGTAGAAAAAAGAAACTTAAAATCACATTTTCTTAACATTAGTCTTAGGGGTTAATAAGTAACCATGTTGGTTGAATTAAATTACAAGGAAAAAGTAAACAAAAGACAAATATGTCAAGTGGCACATCATTTTATAGGTTTTTCAATTCTTAACAACTATGTAGTTTACACTTACTTGATATAACTTTTAGTTTTTGAGTAAATAATAAAAAACCTAATTTTCCTATATCAAATGCATTTTATTTGGGTTTAACCAAGGCCGCACTATTAACACTAATGGCCCCAATGACATATGTTGCTATTTGGAAACTTTAAACAATGGGCATTTGCAAATATTCATAAATAATTTTTTTTTTTTTTATTATCTATATATTAATAGGCAAGCAGTTTTCTTTTCACAGTCATAACTCAATAACGGCTTGATGGATTTTAAAGTTTGAGGTGTCAAATTAAAGGTATTTTCACGTAGATGTGCAAATACGTCTCAGAATATTTAGAAAGGGCACCACTTAAGTACACTTAAGGGCTAAAGTTTGGAAGGCGGCGCTATCTGTTGACATTTGATCAAACTCATTTCCCTTTGTTTACAAAGGACGTTATGGACGTAGTTTGAAATAGTTTTTAAGGTTAACCACAGACTGCAGGATTTAAAACTTCCAAAGCAAAGCTGGAATTTATATTTTGTTTCAATCTGTTAACTAAGTCTGGTTCATAATGAAATAAAGTGTTTAAGAATAAATATTTAATTATTTTTGTCTATGGTTAAATTGATTTACCTTACATCGTATTTTACTGATTATCATGTAGTTACAGTTCGATGTGATGAAGTGAATGTTTGAAAGTGATTATTCACAGGGCAGTTATCCGTTACATTACCATATTATCATGTAATTTACAATGTGTATCAAAATTCCTATTCCTTTATAGTGTTTTCTGTTGTTTGGATAACATTCCTCTTTCATTTTAATTTAAAATCAAATGCCGCCAGTATGACGAAGAACTGTGAGTGGCTGGAGGGAACGCGAACATGACAGCTTGCATCAACCTCTCAATTGAAAATTTGATGGGAACATAGTGGTAGTACCACCGTTGTGATAGTCCAATCTCGGACAAATGAACGTTAAATGTTTACATTGTAGTGGCTTACATATTTTTAAGCAAGAAAAGACTGGCCGAGACAGTTAAGTTTGTAGGCTACTCTTTGTTGCCATAAATGAAAAATTCGTTTACCTCATTTGTGCAATTCACCACAATAAACTTCGGGTTCTTAATGGAAAATCCCAATCTGAAAATAGGACTGTGAGACTTATATCCAGAAATTATTTGGATAAAGTTCGTCAATTCAGTTCTGCCTTTACCATGGTCAGCTCCAAAGCTCATTAAGATGAGAAAGTTCCACAGGGGATCTACAATTTTAAGATCCATGACACGTTTTACCACCGAGTGGGTCTTCTAATTCCTCAAGAAGGTGATGATCCTGAATATGCACAGATATTTAATTAAGTACGACAATTTCACAAGAACCCAAAGGAGAACTAAGCGCAATAAAAAAAAAATGCAATGAAAAAATATGCGGGAAATAGGGTCACAATGCCAACCCATTTGCAAATCTTTAAAGACTGTGGCAGACATCATGTAGGGACGAGAGCTCCGAGGAGTCAAGTGAGATTCTTATGTACATAATAAGAGACAGAAGAAGTGTCTTCCCTCGCTACAATGGTGCTACCTGTGTAGATTACGCAGCGATTTTTAAAGCTGAAAACAAAGCACCACCTGGCCAAATAAATCGTATAGTTTTTTCCAACACTAATAATATTAAACACGTATCCATTATAGATCTGTCGTTAGATCCACTTGCTTACTCTCTTATGTTC